CATGAGTACTAATGTAAGAGTGATTCAACTTTAATTTTGTAATTCAGATTTAATTCACTTGACATTGATGATAAGTAGTTTAACGTTCAGCTTTTTTCTCACACTTAAAATTGCTCTCTGAGTCATTGACTGAAAACTAACGGGAACAAACAGACTGCAATTACTCAGGTTATAATTATTTTTATAATTGTATCCTTTTAATGTGCTTTAGGCACAAGCAGCACTTCAAGAAAACGTGTTAAGAGAGTGCAGACCTGCTTCAGTCAGTCAAACGGAACAGAGAGTTAAAGATCTGGAACCTGAACTAAAAAATGATTCTAATGAAAACAGATTGGAAAAGTACAAACAACTGTATCTTGAAGAGCTAGAACATAGAAAGTCTTTGGCAAGTCAGCTAACCTCGTAAGTCAAAACGCAGAATTATAGAAGATAATTTAGGTCGTTCATTTGCCTCTAAGGCATCATTTTTATTGAGCCAGTTTCATGAGGTGAGTAGCAAGTGAGAGCTAACTAGATAGTGTAATTTTGGGGAATGATGTTAGCAAATGAACCCTCTTTTAAAATGTCAGTCCAGGGCAGTTTGCATCTCCCTGCCTTTTGTTGCTTTTACATGACTTTATTTTTTGTATTTGCATATATTTAACCTGATCTAGTCTTTAAGCTAGGGGTTTTGCAAACTTTGTAATTTAGACAGCCATATTACCACAAAATTTCCAGCTGGAATTCCCATAAATGGAAGTGTTAATGAGTTTAAAATTAACTGTGTTTTGAAAGAGCGCAACGTAAACCCAAGGGGCCCCATGCTGGTGTTTGGTGAATTTACTTTCTTGATTGTGATATTTGGTGTCACCGCTCGTGGGCACCCTGAGACGAAGTACTGTACCCTTCTAAGTTTGCCTCCGCTACGTAAAGGCATGCTTGGGGAATAGGGGGAAGTTCACATCGGGGTGAAGGGCAGCATAGTGGTTCACAAAGTGGCTAAGAAGACTATGGTGGCCTGCCCGAGGGGGTGTGTGGAAGACAGAAAGGGTGGGTCCCACCTCCGGTGCCTGAGTAACGGTGTTACGAGCTACAGGTCTCCCCGCTGTCCAGAAGTAGAGCGTTCCTGTGAAAGTTGTCGGTGTAAAGCAAAGGGGCAAGTTACCTTAGGACACATCTTGCTGGTGGATGCATGAAATAAATATGCATGAAGCACAGGCGTTCACAGACACAGTCCAAAGCCGTGGCGGCGTGATGCCGGGACACTTGAGTGTGGCTCTGCGGAAGGAGCTTGTTGGGGCCCCTCTCGCTGCTCGGGGTGCTCGTTGCCCCTCTGATGGCTCGAGCTAAAACAAACACCCCGCGCTATTCTGGCTTTTTGCTTTTTTTCCATAAAAGTGAAAATCCGCTTGAGATTCTGTTTGCTTATGGAAAGCAGGTGCTGATGTAGGCCTCTGGTAAAAGCGAAGTTACAAAGTGAGCTTTGGGAAATTGGGGGACACTTGGAATTGCCCCTGGCGCTGTCGTAGTTCTTTCCCACCATCGACTCTGCTGCCTGGTGCCCCCCAGAGGTGGTGGCTCTAAACTGTTGCTCAGTGCCGCGTGCTTGATTTCTCCCAGGTAATGAGTGAAATGTGTATGTAAGGGGGGTGAAAGCAAATGCTTGACAATGGCTTTGAGGGATGGTTTAGTTTTTATTTCTAAACTGGTTTACTGAGGGTGAGTATGTCTAGATGCAGCCGGTGCAGAAGGCAGTGGGGGTCCTCTGTGGGGGCGTCTCCATCTCTGACTCTCCACTTTGAGGTACTTGTTAGTTAAGGGCCCCCCCCCAGGGACATACGTCCTTCTTTAGGACAGTTTTAAACTGTAATTGTTTACAGTAGGTCTTCGCTGATGTGTTTTTGGTGTTAAAACGCAGTTTAGTGGGACAATCTGTTCACTATTATAGCAAACTTTAAAAATACACATCACTTAGGAAGAAAATGAACTGAACGAAATCTGTGTTCTGCGATCCTCGCAGGGCTAATGAGAGGCTGGCCGAGGTGCGCACTAAGCTTCAGCTGGAGAGACAGCGCAAGAGCTCTTCCTCCGGCCTTGTTCCTACAAGGCCTGTTGGCGAACCGCCTTCTGCTGCTGGTACTAGCGTGGAGGCCAAAAGCAGTCCTACTCGAAGAAGGCGCTTCAGGACTTCTTCAGAACCTTCGACTAACTTGAGCGATCCCTTGTTCCGGGTTAGTTACATTACCTTTTTTTCCTTGGGTTTCAGGTTTCTAATATAATTCTTGTTTTTAATTTGATGAAATTCTGAGTTGTTTATTTGACTCACGCACGCTAAGTAAAAGCCATAATTGATTGTGCTAATAAAGAAAGGAGACAGAAGTTTTATAATTTTTTAAAGTCCCTGGACTTGTAAGTTTCAAGAGATACCTGTCATTAAACTTTATTCAATAAATGCAACTAAACTGACAAATTTTAAATTCCTTAAAAAGCTCCATTTTAAATTCTATTTTAGAAGTTAAGTATTAGTGCCAAATAACTAGAGATCCACTTTCCAATGTTTGGCTTAGTTTCTGATGGGTTTCGGTTTGGCACTGGTTGATACTAATTTTCAAGTTTTACTGCACCCCAGTTTTTCTACCCCTAAGCATAAGTAAATGATTGGCATTGAGCTACTTAACCACATGCGGGTGTTTTTTATTTAAACGAATCCAAGATAAATTCTTTTTATGAATTCAATAAACTTGTAACACTAAAAACATTAAGTTCCGTTTTTAAGTTTAAAATTTTTATCATTTTCTTCTGTAAGAGTACATCCTTAAATGCTGTTTTACTTATAGCACTGTTATTTTAATTGTTATAAAATGTCTTACTGAGCAGCTGTAGAACATTTCTAACTATGCAGTCAAGTAAAGCAAATACTTAAATTTTTAAAATGAAGTTCGCTTATGTCTCTGTCTTGCCCTCACCTGCAGGCATACCGAGGTGGCAACGATAGGGAGTCTTTAAATTACAAGTAGTTTTCATTGTGTATCGTTGTTAAAATAGCCATTTAAATCAGTGCACGTTGGTTTATGGTTGGATGGTGTTTTCATGATCTTGATGCAGAGAAGGGTAGCACGGGCCCTTCCTTGTTAAGTGAGGTCTCAACCTACTTTTTCTCACTTGGCTTCATGTCATAATCAAAGAAGAAAAAAGCTCAGGTTTCATAGACAGTGTTGTGGGTAAATTGAGTCTAAGTGCTTCAGAGTCATGAAACCGGACTGCGTGGTGTTAAAAAAAAATGCATGGCTAACACTTCTGTCAGTGGCTAAGCATGATGCAAACTCGAAATGTTTTCATTGGTTGTCACCAAAAAGTCGACAATGGGTCTCTTTACAGGATGATGGTGGAAGAGTGTGAGTGCAAAAGCAATGCAAGAGAAAGCTCCTGAGGACAGTTTTTTCATTTGATGTTTTTGGAGGAAAGAGGTGTCTATTTTTTAGTACTTCCAGGTACACTGGAAAATAATTTATTTTAAACTCAGTGTTGTAGTTCCGAGGTACACGTAGTTCTTCTGTGGGGCCGTGGGGCCGAATCATGCTGGGTTTAGCCGGGAGGTTCACGAGCCCCGCTCTGTCCGGGCGCAGAGACACGTCTTCCTCAGCGCTGCCGGGCGCCTCTCAGGAGTTACTGTACAGTTACTGCTTACAGATTTCTTAGTCAGAATTAGAGAAAGAAGATGCCTTGTGGAATTGCTAGGGATGTAATTACTTCTGCTGGGAAAACATAAAGTAATGCTATGCGAGCTGTGAACATACTGTTTAAAATGACAGGAAGGGATGGGTTTTTGCATGGGGCTTAACAAGACAACAGACTTGCACAGCTTTTCAGCTATGGCTCTAGAAAGCAAAATGTTAAAAATGGCATTGGGGTTGAATTTAACATTCTCCTTTATGTGCAAGGTTTTAACGTTTTGGACTGTTCCTACTGTGACGTTCCAGCTTACTCAGCATTTTCTCCCAACTTGACAGAAGTGTTGCTGCTCTCAGTCTGTGATTTCAGTCGTGCTGGTTGTCGAAGCAAGTTTCTTCCAGTTCGTAACACTTGGGTTTATTGCCTCTCTTACTGCTGCCTGAAGTACAGCCTTGTCATGTGACATCGTTGTAGTGGTGACAGATGGACCCCGTATCTGTTTTGCTAATTTTCACCCTCAGATTTCACATTCTAGTTTATTTCTGGGATGTTTTGTCCTACATGTCAGAAGCAATTTTGCAGTTTTACTCAATTGTGTTATTTAACTTATATTACTATAAAATACGAAAAGTTAAAGTTAGCCTGAGCAGATACATCACTGTTAGATTTTCTTGCACATAGAATTTTTTTCTGAGAACTGAAAACTTAAAAATGGATTCCAGACAATATTATAACGGACAACATTTCTCTGTTTTAAAGATTTTTTTATGTTCAAGAGTTTTTAAGTATTGGTGGGCCTAACATGAAGCATCGCCATAGTTAATAAATGTCCTTCAAATCTATTTTAAATAGGAAGACTAAATTTTACACTCATTGATTTTGGACTTTTGGTGTATTACTGACACTTTCAAACATCTTCTAATGATTTATTTAAGTAACTTTTAAATTTCTCAAATGTCCATTCAGTTTAGAAGCCCTTTTTCTAAATGGGATCATACCAGTGCAGCAGAGCTACAACGATTAACCTTCCTAAGACTTTAACTTTTTACATGACACAGCACGGCGTCTCAGCAGGATCTGGTCACGTTTCTTTTAAAAGTAGGCTTCCAAGGCAGGGCACATCCACTCCGAATTTTAATTCTAATCAAACTACCACAGTAGTTAATAAGCTCACTTCTCATAAGGCGGAGATAGAGTTCAGTAACCTTGTTTCTGGTATCAGTTCTCTGCCCTGTGCACTCCCTCCTGGTCTCGTTTCATTTTGTCTGAATGGACAAATGAGGAAGCGTGTTATCTTTTGAAAGACAATCACTCAGCTTCTTCCAGTTCTTTTTCTTTCATTCACTTTTTTCTCTGTACTTAATTTTTTAGCTCCTTGATCAACAAATACTTTCTCATTTCTTCACTCTGCAGCAAAATACATGCATTTAATAGTTACAAACTGACAAGTGTCATTTCCTTCATACATTAACCTATTTACAACAGGATAATGAATCAAAGCAGTTAAATGACTTGATTTTATTACATTTCTGGAATTGTACTTATTTTTACAACATTTAAAATAAGAATGGTACCAAGTTTTAACTGAAAAGTATCAATAATCTGAAAACATATTCACTTTGGAAACCAACGTGTGTGTATACGTGTGGGGCAAGTGTTTTTTTATCAAATTGATCTCGGAAAGAGAGGGCAGCATTATCTTCCAGCCTGTGGCCTCAGTTTTGACCTCAATCCTGCAGTGTCCCCAGTGGGACCTTCCATTTCCATGGGACATAGTCTGCAAACTGCCAGTTAGGAGAGAATCCTCCTAATTAAAAATCATTAGAATTAAAACTTGCTGATACATTGTCTTCCCGTGTATTATTTTCTCACCTTTCTGTGTTTTTGTTAAATGGAAAGATTTAAGTAAACTGCAGGTGCCTTCTCCTTACTAATGTTGGACTTCAGGCCACTTCCACCATCTGGACATGGGGGTCCTCACCTAGAAATAAACGTAAAGGTCCCAAAAGTACCTGTTTAGGAAAATAGCTTTGCAGAGGAAAAGATAGTAATCTTACATTCAGCTCATGTGAAGGTGTGATCTACATTTTGCATAGTGTTTATTAATGGTTACATGAATTTATTTCAGTAAAGTCTCCTCCCTTCATCTGTTAGGCGTTTTTCACTTCACAGGACCCGCCTGGCACTGTTGTCACGTTGTTGATGGCAGAAGGCCTCTGTAGAATGCTCTTGTCAGACAGTGTTATGGAAAACAGGCTCTGAAAATACTGGCTAATGGTAGCCCCAAAGTTTGTCTTTGCACCTAACATTTACAAAGGCCTCGGCTCTCGTGTCGCTGTTATCACCACAGTTTGTTGTGTTCATGTACTGTTTTAGACCCTGTTTAGTGAGCGGGTGACTTTAATAAGAAAGATTTTAAAAGAACACTCTAGGTGGGGACATTTGTAGTTTGAAATGTCCCCACACATTTCATAATTAAATACGTAACTAATTAAGTCAAGTTTCAAAAAGTTGGCCCTAATTCCTAGAATGGAAACAAAGTTACAGTTAAAGAATTACGTATTGTTTTCCTTATTTCTAACTCTAGGAAGTTGTGAATCAGAAACCAACTTTTGAAACTGGCGCTAGCCTCTCCTTTTCTTTTCTTCAAGCAGATTTTCTGATATAAATATCTTAGTCATATACAGAGAGCAAATACATTTCCTTAACTTGTTGGCCAGTAGAATTTTCACTTGACATTATAGCAGAACCCTTTTCTTCATTTTATGCATCTACGATTCTGTGCTAAAAACATGAGCAAGAACAGACCTTAAAATTTTAGTTTTCTCAAAGTGCAGGAATGGAAAGCTCATTCTAAGGAAAAAGCCATTAACGTTAAAGAAACTAAACTTTTATAAAGGGCAGTTTCTCTGAGAACTGCAGAGCAATGCATTCAGTGTAGAACGTGACTTGAGTTGTTTAAACTCTGTGCTGATGAGGTCGGGCGTCGCCCTCTGAGAGTGTGTGCATCCGCCAGGGCCGGGCTCGCTGTGCTTTCCATCAGGGGACTCTAAGTAGCCTCACATGCGTGTGTTCTCTATTAGCTAAAGTCAAAGGAAGTAGGAATTTATTTGATTTTACTCCTGTGATTATTTTTCTGTTTAAGCAATCCCCAAGGTAGGTCAAGTCTCTAAAAGTATTATTTAAAGGCCACATTTCATAAGCGAGCTGTCATTCCTATGAAAGTGTTTCTTGTTTAACTTACACGTTAAAAATTGTATTTGACTTATTTCAGATGCGGAAGGAGTTGGAGAATAACGTAGCTAGAGAATTAAAAGAAGGTATGTTGCCAACATTTCCGAATTAAATTTAGACATTGATTTCCGAAATACGCTGTAAAGAGTAAATGGCACCTCATTCTATTGTTTGAATAACAGATACTATGTTAAATTTTTTTCTTACACGTATCTAATGAAAAATGTGAAAGCATGATTTCATTCATAATGATAAGTGTACTTATTCCTCATTTATTCATCATGATCCATAGCTTTAAAAAAAATCCCAGGAAGTCTGTGTTCTCTATTTCTGGCCGTGCCCTTCCTCTCCTGCTGTCCCCGTGGGCCTGTCATCTGCACACGGACCTGTTCTCAGAAAGCATGGAGGTCATCAGCTTCTCGAGTTTGGTAGTGACTGAGGCCAAAAACCCAGACTCTGTACCTGTCCCCTGGTGGATGACAGTTAATTTCCTGTCACTCACTTTGTCAGGGGTTAACTTTTGCCCTCAGGAAAAATTCCAAATTCCTTAGCTTGGAAGAAAAACACCCACGTCGATTTGGCTCTTGCCAAAGTCTTCAGCCATATCTCTCTACTCCCCTGCTCGGCCCCTTGGCTCCAGCGACTGGTCAGACTGCGTCCAGCTCCGCGGGTGCCCTTCCTGCCTCTGCTCTCTGTGTTTGCTTCTTGCCTCTCCCTCCCACACTTTCTCCTCCTCCTTCAGGTATCTGCTTACACATCACGGCCACCAAAGAGGGGGCAGTATTGACACAAAGCTGGACGTCCCTTCTGAGTGTTCCGACTGTGCCCTCTTCTATACCTGTCATGGCATTTATGTCTCTGTACCGAAATTGCCTATTCATCTATTTTTCCAGTTTACGGTACATGATTATTCAGGGTGGACTCTGTCATCTTCATCTTGTGATTCCAGTGCTTGTCACAGTGCCTTAGCCCATGGTTGCTGAGTAAATGAATGAATGAGAAAACCAGGGGCTCTGATCCTTAGCCACAAGAGCACTTAATTCAACGTGCAGCCCTGGGCAAAGTCTAGAGTAGTCATCTTGTATTTTGTGCTGTAATCGTGTGTAGGTATTTTTCATTCTCGTTAAAACTTAGAAGAGTCTCAGCTTTTCTTAAAAAATAAACTGACATTTAGTTACCTATGAAGTATTTTAAGTAAAGAGCCTAATTCTTTCATTTTCGTTCCAGCTACTGCTGAACCTGAATCTTAAGTCCTACAGAGTCTCTCGTAGCCTTGATGGACGAGTCAAGTCTAAGTCCAGATCTGGATTCGAAAGCACGTGAAGAACATGTGGAGATTATGAAGAAAAAGTATCTGATCTTACAAGATAAATACTAAACATTTACCTGCTGGGCTGTTTGCCTAACATTGTATTTACTTCCCGTTATGTAAGATACTGACACTGTTTATTAAGGGAAAACACTCTTGCATTCTATGTGCGTGATTAAAATTGACGTATTTTAAGCCACGTTTCTCTGCATCTCATTGACTTTTAAGCAGACTTTGGGAATAAAACCCAGCACTTTGGAGCTTTTGGCAAGACCAGGAGAGGGCAGGCCCAGGTGTGTGCAGACACCAGAGTGTGCAGAGACAGGGGAGTGTAGCCCCAGGAGTATACAGGCCCAGGGCTGTGCAGGTCGTGGAGTGTGCAGTCCCAGAGGTGTGCATACACAAGACGGAACAGGCCTAGGAGTGTGCAGGCCAAGGAGTGTGCAGACCCAGGACTGTGCAGTCTCAGGAGTGTGCAGACACGGGGTGGAGCAGGGACTCCAGTGTACTGGCCCAGAGGTGTAGAGGCCCAGGTGTGTGCAGGCTCTGGGATGAGCAGGCCCAGGAGTGTGCAGGCCCAGAGCTGTGCCAGACACAAGATGGAACAGGCCCAGGAGTGTGCAGGCCAAGGAGCGTGCAGACCCAGGACTGTGCAGTCCCAGGAGTGTACAGACACGGGGGAGCAGGCAGACGAGTGTACTGGCCCAGGAATGTAGAGGCCCAGGTGTGTGCAGGCTCTGGGATGCACAGCCCCAGGAGTGTGCAGGCCCAGGAGTGTGCAGGACCAGGAGAGGTCCGGCCGAATTGGGGGCAGGCCCAGGAGAGGAAAGGCGAAGGAGCGTGCAGGCCCAGGAGTGTGCAGGACAGGTGAGGGATGTCACAGGAGAGGGCAGGGCCAAATGAGGCAGGCCCAGGAGTGTGCAGACACCAGAGTGTGCAGATACAGGGGTGTGCAGCCCCAGGAGTGTACAGGCCGAGGTTCGTGCAGGCCCAGGAGTGTGCAGGCCCTTTAGTGTGCAGTCCCATGAGTGTACAGGCCCAGGTTCGTGCCGGCCCAGGTGTGTGCACGCCCTGGAGTGTGCAGTCCCAGAGGTGTGCATACACAAGACGGAACAGGTCCAGGAGTGTGCAGGCAAAGGAGCGTGCAGACCCAGGGACTGTGCATTCCAAGGAGTGTGCAGACACGGGGTGGAGTAGGCACTCGATTGTACTGGCCCAGGAGTGTAGAGGCCCAGGTGTGTGCAGGCTCTGGGATGGGCAGGCCCAGGAGTGCGCAGACAGAGGAGTGTGCAGGCCCAGGACGGTGCATTGTCAGGAGTGTGCAGGCCCATTAGTGTGCAGGCCCAGGCCAGGGCAGGCCCAGGAGTGTACAGGTCCAAGAGTGCAGGCCCAGGAGTGTGCAGGACAGGTGAGGGCCGGCACAGCAGAGGCCTGGGCCAAATGGGGCAGGCCCAGGGGTGTTCAGGCCCAAGATTGTGCATGTCCAGGGTGTGAAGACCAATGAGTGTGCAGTTCCAGGAGTGTGCTGGCCCAACACTGTGCAGGCCCAGGCCAGGGAAGGCCCAGACCAGGGAAGGGCCAGGATTGTACAGGTCCAGGAGTGTGCAGGCCATCGAGTGTGCAGGCCCAGGAGAGTGCAGACAGGAGGGTGCAGGCCCAGGCCAGGGCAGGCCCAGGAGTGTACATGCCCAGGTTCTTGCCGGCCCAGCTGTGTGCAGGCCCTGGAGTGTGCAGTCCCAGAGGTGTGCAAACCCAAGATGGAACAGGCCCAGGAGTGTGCAGGCCAAGGAGTGTGCAGACCCAGGACTGTACATTCTCAGGAGTGTGGAAACACAGGGTGAAGCAGGCACTCAAGTGTACTGGCTCAGGAGTGTAGAGGCCCAGGTGTGTGCAGGCTCTGGGATGAGCAGGCCCAGGAGTGTGCAGGACAGGTGAGGGCCGGCACAGCAGAGGCCTGGGCCAAATGGGGCAGGCCCAGGGGTGTTCAGGCCCAAGATTGTGCATGTCCAGGGTGTGCAGACCCATGAGCGTGCAGTTCCAGGAGTGTGCGGGCCCAACACTGTGCAGGCCCAGGCCAGGGAAGGCCCAGACCAGGGATGGCCCAGGATTGTACAGGTCGAGGAGTGTGCAGGCCATCGAGTGTGCAGGCCCAGGAGTGTGCAGAACCAGGTGAGGGCAGGCCCCAGCGTGTGCAGGACCAGGAAAGGGCAGTCCCAAGTTTGTACAGGCGCAAGAATGAGGAGTCCCAGGACCGTGCACGCCAAGCAGAGGGCAGGCCCAGGAGTGTGCATGCCCAAGAGTGTGCAGACACAGGAGGAAGCAGACCGAGGAGTGTGCAGGCCCATGTGTGTGCAGTCCCTGGAGTGTTCAGGCACAGGAGGAAGCAGACTTAGGAATGTGCAGGCCCAGGAGTGTGCAGACACAGGAGTCAGCAGGCCCAGGAGTGTGCAGGTGCAGGAGTGTGCAGGACCAGGAGTGTGCAGACAGAGGAGGGAAGAGGCACACTAGTGTGCTGGCCCAGGAGTGTACAGGCCCAGGTGTGTGCAGGCCCTGGTGTGTGCAGTCCCAGAAGTTTGCAGACACAAGACGGAACAGGCCTAGGAGTGTGCAGGCCAAGGAGTGTGCAGACCCAGGACTGTGCAGTCTCAGGAGTGTGCAGACACAGGGTGTAGCAGACACTCAAGTGTACTGGCTCAGGAGTGTAGAGGCCCAGGTGTGTGCAGGCTTTGGGATGAGCAGGCCCAGGAGTGTGCAGGCCCAGGAGTGTCCGACAGAGGGGTGTGCAGGCACAGGAGGGTGCATTCCCAGGAGTGTGCAGGCCCATTAGTGTGCAGGCCCAGGCCAGGGCAGGCCCAGGAGTGTACAGGCCCAGGTTCGTGCAGGCCCAGGAGTGTGCAGGCACAGGAGCGTGCAGTCCCAGGGGTGTGCCAGCACAGGTGTGAACAGGCCTAGGAGTGTGCAGGCCCAGGCCAGGGAAGGCCCAGGCCAGGGAAGGTCCAGGAGTGTACAGGTCCAGGTGTGTGCAGGCCCAGGAGTGTGCAGACAGAGGAGTGTGCAGGCCCAGTTGGGTGCAGGCCCAGGCCATGTCAGGCCCAGGAGTGTACAGGCACAGGAGTGTGCAGGCCCAGGAGTGAGCAGACAACAGAGTGTGCAGAGACAGGAGTATGCAAGCCCAGGAGTGTACAGGCCCATGGCTGTGCAGGCCCAGGAGTGTGCAGACTGAGGAGGGTGCAGGCCCAGGCCAGGGCAGGCCCAGGAGTGTACATGCCCAGGTTCTTGCCGGCCCAGGTGTGTGCAGGTCCTGGAGTGTGCAGTCCCAGAGGTGTGCAGACCCAAGACGGAACAGGCCTAGGAGTGTACAGGCCAAGGAGTGTGCAGACCCAGGACTGTGCAGTCTCAGGAGTGTGCAGACACAGGGTGGAGCAGGCACTCGAGTGTACCGGACCAGAGGTGTAGAGGCCCAGGTGTGTGCAGGCTCTGGTGTGTGCAGGCCCAGGAGTGTGCAGACAGAGGAGTGTGCAGGCCCTGTAGGGTGCAGGCCCATGCCAGGGCAGGCCCAGGGGTGTACAGGCACAAGACTGTGCAGGCCCAGGAGTGTGCAGACACCTGAATGTGCAGAGACAGGAGTGTGTAGCCCCAGGAGTGTACAGGCCTAGGGCTGTGCAGGCCCTGGAGTGTGCAGCCCCAGGAGTGTAAAGGCCCAGGAGTGTAAAGGCCCAGGTTCGTGCCGGCCCAAGTGTGTGCACGCCCTGGAGTGTGCAGTCCCAGAGGTGTGCAGACCCAAGACGGAACAGGCCCAGGAGTGTGCAGGCCAAGGAGTGTGCAGACCCAGGACTGTGCATTCTCAGGAGTGTGGAAACACAGGGTGAAGCAGGCACTCAAGTGTACTGGCTCAGGAGTGTAGAGGCCCAGGTGTGTGCAGGCTCTGGGATGGGCAGGCCCAGGAGTGCGCAGACAGAGGAGTGTGCAGGCCCAGGACGGTTCATTATCAGGAGTGTGCAGGCCCATTAGTGTGCAGGCCCAATCCAGGGCAGGCCCAGGAGTGTACAGGTCCAAAAGTGTGCAGGCCCTGGAGTGTGCAGGACAGGTGAGGGCCGGCACAGCAGAGGCCTGGGCCAAATAGGGCAGGCCCAGGGGTGTTCAGGCCCAAGATTGTGCATGTCCAGGGTGTGCAGACCCATGAGCGTGCAGTTCCAGGAGTGTGCGGGCCCAACACTGTGCAGGCCCAGGCCAGGGAAGGCCCAGACCAGGGAAGGGCCAGGATTGTACAGGTCC